GGTGCACCGAAAGCAGGCGAAAGAGTCAGACGAAGCGTCGGAGAGAGCGACGTGAGGAGGCGCCGCTCAATAACGTTGACAAGAGCGACGACGAGACCCATACACACACATCGCCCAGGCGTTGGCCATACACCACCATCGTCGTGATAGTGTGGCGGTAGCAACACGCGTCGGCGCCACGTTGCGCCGCAGTGCGGCAGCATCAAACCTTCTGAAACCCTCGGCTTGCCACCGCGCCTCGTGACACATAACATACTGCTGACACACAAACTCAGGCAGGCAGGCAGGCAGGCAGGCAGGCAGATAGACAGAGAGATAAACAAGACCAACAGACGGCAGACCCGCCTACAGGCTCGCAGCAATATGAGGCGGCACGAAACCGTCACGCAACTGCCATCGCACGACACGTATGCACACTAAATCAGTGTCGCGGAAAGACGCACACCAAAAAATACAAAAGGAGGACAAGACAGCACGCAGGCACCTTCCGAAGGTGGTTCGTGGGGTTCTTGAGCCAGGGATGTCTGAGCAGCTCCACCGACGATTTTCGCATCTGGACAGATGAAGAAGAAAAAACAACCACACACACACAAACCAGTCAGCGTTTCAGTGGGTCGGGGAGGGGCGGGGACCGGAAGTGCGGGGGAATGTCTGCCTTTTCGTTGCACAAGGGTTTCGCTTCACGGCGGACGGCCCGCTCGCGACTCAACTTGATGAGAGCGCGAAGCTGCAGCAACCAATGAGTGAGTGTGTTTACAAGAACCATAAGCAGCGACAAGAGCTTGCGCGTGCTAGGTCAATGGCCTGACGACTACGGCATGCACGGCTATGAGTACAGCACCCCCCCCCCTTCCCCCGTGGTCAAATGGTGTAACAGCTAAGGCATGTATCACTATATGCTGCTTGGGGATCGTAGAAACACAGGCAACACCCCGCTAACGCTGTGAATTTATAACCAATTTATCGTAGGCCCTTTTCTATCGATAGAGATGCAATTAATGCAGTATATAAAGACAAAAAACATGAGTACACCCCCCACCGAGAGCAACAAAATGCGCGGCACCGTGGGCTCTTTCCACGCCCACCCACCTGGGCCTGCTTCTTGAAGCACTGCAGCAAGAAATCCCGCAGGGCCTGTGACGTGCCGTCCGGCAGGGGGGGGTGGTCGTCCTGGACGATCTTGTATAGGGCCGTCATCTGATTTCCGTTTGTTTGTTTGTTTGATGGGATATTCCGGATTCCGGCCGAATCACGGTGGAAGTCGACAGTTCCCGAGGTAAAATGATGTACAACAACAACCGAGAGAGAGAGAGAGAGACAGACACACAGAGTGGCAAGAGGCGGGAGGGGGAGTTTGCCCGCAAACGGCGCAATGACCATTGGGATTTTGCGTCAGCGTGACGAGAGGGCACGTGGACTGGAGCACGCCGTCAACCAGGCTAGCGCGCGGGGGCAGGGTTGCTTTCGCACGACGCAAAGGGTGGCTGTCTTGGCAGTTCCAGCAGGTTTTGTAGTCCGAAGTGTTTCATCATCTGCTGCACTTCGCGCGCTTACATGCGCAACAAAGTGGAGAGAGTACACAGGCGTAAGAGAGACAATACATTCTAGTGCCTAGCGGGCCGCAAGCCCGACTACCGAGTGGTACCAGAGCAAAGTGACGTGTGGTTTTGGCAAAAACACAACAACATTTGTATTTGTACAAAACATAGGCCTGCAATTTGGCCTTCGTAAAACTGATGTTACCTGGGGGAGGTCAAAGTAGGGGGGTTTCCCTTCCAGGAGCTCGATGATGGTGCACCCTACAGACCACACGTCGCATGCGGTCGTCGTGCCCGTCATCTCGATAATCTCCGGTGCCATCCAGTAAGGCGTGCCCACCTTTTTTCGGTTAAATATTATGGAAGTGAAGTTGGACACATTTTAGAAAATGAAGCTGGAAACATTTTAGAAAATATACACCCAATCAAAGAGAGACTATTGTACCCGTTTAAGATAAAACCACAGCAGTCCAAGGGGATGGGCATTAGCAGCAGTGGAGTTATCTTGGTGTTATTCTGGTAGATTGGTCGATATGCCACCGCCAAGGATGACGTCACGCCGAGGGCTATGTATCCGCAAAGGTCGGAGAGAACTTGATCCCGTCACACGGTTTGACGATGACGACGACAACAGCACGAACGACTTTTGCGAACCTGCCCTCGTTCCTACGGATCCAGCCTTCGAAATGCCGACTCATCACTTCTCCCCGCCCCTGCCGCACTCCTACCCCGATCTTGCAAGCAAAAAAATATCTCACTCACTCAGAAACAGGAGTAACGTTCGAAGGCAAACACAACCGCGGCCTTTATGACCAAGGCCAACATGTCGACTATTTTCCCAATCACCGACGTTAACCTTCAGAGGCAGTCAGAGAAAGCGCGCGCGAGAGAGAGAGAGAGGCGCAGACAGCTAGACACACACACATCACTTCATTGCGAGATCCATACCAAAAAACAGCGCCGCTACGAGCAACACCCCCGCCCGACCACACGCGCAACCCACCACGTCCACGTCAAACGCCTGCTTGTCCGAGAGCTTCATGGCGACGCCGAAGTCGGCCAGCTTCACCAGTCCACGTTTGGTCGTGAGGATGTTAGCGCCCTTGATGTCTCGGTGCAGCACCCCTTGGTCGTGCAGGTACTTAAGCCCCTCCAGCACCTGGGTCATGTAGATCGCCGTGAGCGACTCGGAGAAGTTTCCGAACTTCTTGCACATGGCGGACAAGGAACTCTCCATGATTCTGCGACCCCCCCCCGCGGTGCCCCACACATGCACACGTTCCCCGAGAGACGTAGGTAGGTATGCGGGCGCGGATGGGACGTCGGGGGGGGGGGGGGGGGGGGGGGAAATTAAAAAAAAAAAAAA